CCCAAGAAGTCAGCAGGAACACTGAATAATTCTCTCCAGATACAGTTGACAAGGCGATACTTGCTGCCCAGATGTATACCTCCCTGGGCATAAATCTGTCTTACCATTACCTTTGTAAAAATTTTATCTGGGCAAGGAACAGCTGCCACGATACCTCATACTGATCTCCTGCAAAGCAGGATCAAACCTGATTAGCGCTTGGTAAACTGGGTATATTAAAGATATAAAGCTGTAACAAGTGGCATTGGGAAGTCAGCCCTTCCCCAACCACTGCTCCAGCACCGTAAAAGGTACAGTTTTTCAAATGAGAATAGATAGGAAAGGAGGATGGTGGAAAGGCACTCTAAGAAGGTCCAACTTCCACCTCTTTACTGTGTAGTAAGACAGACATGCCCTCTGTGTAGTCTTCAACGTATATCTGAAGGGAAAAAAAATGTATTACTCCCTCTAAGTTCTGAATAGTGATTTTGGACTTTGCTTTCCTAGTTCCATGTACATTTATGCTACACACTCATAAAAAAATCTGTAACCTTCTACATTAGAATTTTGGACTCAGGAAGTCCGTGATAAATGTACAGGACATGTTCATAGAAGAAAATAATACTGTGCTGTTAGCAGTCTGAAATCAAACGTCCAGTACTGCCAAGTTAGGTCTTCATACTATTTAGCAAATTTCATCTGCTGGTGAATATTTATCGTTCTGCATGTTATATAATACTCTGACACTGGGGCACTCATCTACGGTAAGACCTAACAAGACATGTATTACTACATATACACGGGTATCAGTTCAAATCCTGACAGCATTTCTTCTATTTAATCAAAGCCAGGATTTAGGAATGCTGAGACACTTACTTGATTCCTTTCTCTGTTAGCCAATGAAGACAAAAGATGTGGCTTACTTCCCCTTGCCTGTGATGGAGGAATGTGTCATGGCCATATTGACTTGATGACACTTGTCTGCGAAGTAATACCCGCATAGCAAGAGAACTGCAGTTTTCTCCATACATTATAGTAAGGAAGAACAAAGACTGCAGAAAAAGCATATTAGAGCCCAAATTCTTTGTAGATTTAGATTCCTGAGCCCTCAGCAAAGACAACAGTTTGCAAATTAGCCAGGGGATCGGTATGCAGAGCCACAGGAAACAATTGTAAGGGACTGTACGAGGTGCTCCAGCTGATTGGAAAAGCAGTACCCTTCGAAGTTAAAAAGCCATAACAAAAAACAGCTGTGAGTTCATCTTTAATTTAGCTCTCACTGGGTTGCTAAGTTAGTTGCAAACCACTCATACCAGAATGATTTAGGTGCTACCATATTTAATTATACCTCTTCAAATGTACTCTTGCAAACTAGGAGGAATGTGCGGTATTGTACAGATTAGTAACCCAAAGACACTTACCAAAGCAAACTGATTTACTTGAACATACAGCACTTCAACCTCCTTGTCAGTAACATCTGTGCCAAATCCTTTATACTCCTTGTAGGCTTCAAGGTAAGATCTCAGCCACTGCTCCTGTAATTCCCTACTGGGATAAAGGCTGTAGTCTACCTCATTCACCCCTAAAGAAAAAAAAACAAACAACAAAACAAAAGACCTTCTTCCCATCAGGTTTTTGGATGGCTGTATGACGTTAAGAAGCTTGTTTCCCAGAAAATCTACATATTTGTATAATATATGATTTCCTCTGAAGTATTGCAGATGTTCATGTTGATGGGTACATCAATAAAAAGTGCAACTCAATTGTGAATGATTTGGTACTTGCGTATTTGGCAACAGCCAACATACATGTGTACTTTTGTACTTTGATATACATGAACATCAGTACATTTTCCCAGCTACGTGGGAGAAGCCCCATGAACTAAAGCATTACAAACCAACAACCTTCTGAGGAATAGTCAAAAACCTGTTTAATTCTAGTGAAAGAAAGAAGAAAAGAAAAGAACGATGTTATGTTATCTGAATTTTTTCTTACTAAACATGAGACACTCATGTATATGTATATTTTATCATGGACAAAAGAAGAATTTTCTGTGTGTCCAGTACCACCACACCATAAACTAATCCCCTCTTCTACTGACTCTATTAACATCTGGAAGTTTCACTTGCTTCTAATTATACCATCCTTGATCAAAGTTTTATTTTTTGCCTACAAACAAGCCTGCATTACACACTACAATTCTCTTTATATGCTAATGTCTCTACCTCAACTCCACATCTGCTGAAATCATCAATCGTGCCTTCCTCTATCAAATTTCCTCCGACTCCTGTGAATCAGATTCTGCCCAAAGAAAAGTAGTCCTGTACATGCATGGAATCATAACTTAACCCCTTTCCAATTTGGGATTCAAATCTGCCCTTTCAAATCAGAGGAATGTTTTAAATTCAGAAGTTCTTGACCTTTGTCAATCTATTCATCTAGCACAAATCTTTCGCCATCTCTCTCACTGTTGGTGCCTGAAGATACTCTGATGTTTCAAGCACGTGTTAAATCTGAAAGCACTCAAATTGTCAAAAACCTTGGCTGAACTGTCTGAGAGCAGCAGCAGTGCACAAGGCTGTCCTCATCATATATCTCTATGCAACGTACTACAAAGCAAACATGGATAGGTCTCAAAATACATATATACACTGCCAGACATTTTGAAAAATTAACATAACTGCTTTAAAAATCTCTACTTTGGGGAACAATGCCAAGTAGACTAGAATTGGTGCGTTTAACATTACTACACCACAGCAATTGGTATCACAGAATTTTTACTACTGTTTTTTGATGCAACTGGCTAGTGGTGCACTGATATAGATTTTTTTGGCAGATATCGAGGTCCAATTATTAACCAGCCATATCAGCTGATACCAATCCAATAGCCAAAATGAAGCCTAACAGCATGGAGAGCAACATCTGGCCAGGAAGTCTGCGGGGGTGAAGGGGCATGGCGGGGCGGGGTGGGGCGGGGCAGATCAAGGCCCCCACAGTGAGGGAGGGAGTGGGCAGGGGCAGGGGCTGCCCAGCTGGGGTGGGACAGGGGATGGAGCTGCAGGTGACTTGAGTGGTGGAGCTGGGGGGATGGAACGGCTCCCACTGCTGCATGCAGCCCTGTAGTAGGCATGGGGGCAGATGCCCCCCGGATTTGTGCACAGGGCAAGGGCAGGCTGCCTGCTACGGGCTGGGGGCTGCACTGGCCTCTTTCCAGCAGGAGGGCTGGTGCTGAGAGGGGTGGCTACGGGGTGGACTTTAGCCATGCCAACACAGCCCAGCTCCCCGCTGGAAAGAAGCTGGCACAGCCCCAGGCCCACAGCAGGCAGCCCACACACAAATCTGGGGGGCACATGCCTCCCATGCCTCCACCGGGGTGCACTGTGGCAGGAGCTACCCCTACCACCCCCTGGATGAGGTGCCCGCACCTCCATCCTGTGCCCCATCCTGGCTGGGCAGTGCCTACCTCTGCCTCTGTCCCAGCCCCACTCCCTCCCTCACTGTGGGGGCCTCAATCTATCCCCCCCTACACATGCCCCCTCCCCACCACAGACTTACAGGCCAGACGCTGCTCTCCAAGCTGCTGGGCTGTATTCCAGGCCATGTGCATGCTGCAACTGTGTACATGCACGCGGCCTTTATCAGTGATATTATCAGCCACAGTGGCCAAAAAAGCCGACTGCTGACAAAGTTAATTTTCCTTTTATTGGTGCCAATATGATATGGACCGATATATCAGTGCAACTCTACAACTGGCATACAAAAAAGAAAAAAAAAAAAAGCCCTTATTTATGCATTTAGGACAAAGGGCATTCAAAGAACCATAAAGGACCAAAAACTTTTTTATGGGGCAGGTATGGTCACCCCTTGGTTTTTAAAGTTTCCTTTGGGAAACTTAACTTTAAAAAACAAGTTAAGATGTACTTAATTTGGTACTGAGTTAATGTGCAGATTTATGAGAGAAAAGTTAATAAGGCATTAGACTTAGGTTAACAAGGACATCAAGACTGAGTCACTATCAAGTCTCCATAAAAAACTATGCAAGGAATCACAAGTCTGCTATTTGAAGGTGGAGAATATCACATAGTACACAGACGTGATTCTCTGCCGCACCTACACCCTGAAGAATGGAAAATGACAGCACATCACAATACTCTTACTATTCTTTTTTAATTCTAGAGAGAAAGGAAGATTAATCATAGAAAATTAGGGCTGGAAGGGACCTCAGGAGGTCATCTAGTCCAACCCCTTGCTCAAAGCAGGGCCATACCCAATTACATCATCCCAGACAAGGCTCTGTCTAGCCAGGACTTAAAAACTTCCAAGGATGGAGATTCCACCACCTCTTTATGTAACTTGTTCCAATGCTTCACCCCACTCCTAGTGAGAAAGTTTTTCCTAATATCCAACCTAAACCTCCCCTGCTGCAACTTGAGACCATTGCTCCTTGTCCTGTCATCTGCCACCACTGAGAACGGTCTAGCTCCATCCTCTTTGGAACCCCCTTCAAGTAGGTAAAGGCTGCTATCTAATCCCCCTCAGTCTTCTCTTCTGTAGCAAAACCCCCAGTTTTTCTTTTTTTTTTTCTTTTAAAATGCATTCCCTCCCCTTTCCCAACCATTTCTGACTTTGTCTCTCCCTCTTATAGATAAGTATAAGTAAGCTAAGATGTAGGTAGTAAGTTTTATTTTTCGCTTCCCTCTGCAGATAAGTGCCCTGCTATTTTGACATAGATATCCACTGTTTTATAAGTGAAAATTATTATGTTTGTACTGCTTTTATATTGTGTGATTACTGTTTTAGGCCTATATATGTAAGTTAGCATAAGTCATGTCAAGTTTCCATCTTGTAATGTCAAGCCTCCATCTTATCCCCATGCCTGGTTGTGTAACCTATGACTCGTACTACCCCTCCTATGTAACTTGGTTCCTGAATGAATGGGGATGAATGAGGGTGCCTGAGAGACAATGGCAGTAGGTCTAAAAACAGCTCCTTCTGAATGACCGAACCATCAACATCAATACCTGGACCAATGACCCAGCCCTTGGAACCACCCCCAGCATTCAAGAAACAAAAGATGAGGCAATCCACTATTGTGCCACAATGCACATGCTCAGTAAGAATACCTGGAGCCCTCTGGAACAGGACTGACGTTGCCTGGACAGGCCCACCCCATAGAAGATCAGAGGTAGTTTGCTCCATAAAAAGGGGTAGTGAAGACTGACTCCTTGGGAATGTTAGTTCCATCTGGACCACACCAGCTCCACATCACACCGTCTATCCACCCCAAAGGCCATGCCGGCAACTCCCTTCTGGACACCACCGAGCTGAAGGAGACCCTGACTGCCCATCAAGGACCCCCTTGCAGCCTGGGATAGGTAGATATCACCTATATATCTCCTCCTCCATTTTGGACTCCTGGACTTCAGCCCCTGCACCAACCCTCTTTAACCCCTGCTGCCACTGCCTGCCTCCCTGCACGCAAAGGAACCAATAAAATATCGTGTCACCATCTCCCCTTTATTAAACTACTGTCATTTGTAACCCTGAGTTCAGTTGTGTTTTACTGCCCTCCAGTCCCTTCCCTATCTTAAATTCCAGTCTCTCTCTCTCTCTCTCTCTCCACTCTCAGCCCTGTTCCCACCACTTCTTGCCTCTTGCCACCTCTTCCCAATTCCTATCTCTCTGCCTTCACTTTCAGGCTCTCTCTCTCTCTGTGTTCTCCAGGCCTGTCCCACTCCTAGTTTTCCTCTCGCCATGTACCTCTTGGCTCCCCTGTAGCCTCCTTGCTCCGGCTCCAGCCTCTGGGCTTCTTCCCGGCATTGCTTTTTTGCTCTGCTGGCTTTCTGCTTTCAATTAACACCAATTAACCTTAACTTACCTCAACTTCCCTCCAGTCTGCCAGTTCTAATCCCAGCACCGGCAACTTTAGTTTATTGCTGGTGGAGGCTGAGATTAAAGTAACCCCAAGCCTCAGCTCCTCAGCCCAGCTCTCTCTAGTCTACCGGTTCTAATCCCAGTCCCAATCCCAGTCCCGGCAACTTTCACCCCCTACACTTTCACTCTCTCTTACCTTAACCTTCCCCCAGGTATCCCACGTACACCAAGCACATACATACCACTCACTTACACATACACACGCACACAGGTGAGTTCCTAACTTGGGTGTTGTGGTGTGTATGTATGTGAACTGATATACATGTATGTCACTGTGTGCATGATATACGAATTAGTGATCCGTGTATGTGTATTGGGTGTGCAGGTATCGGTAACTGATTCTGGTTTAATTTCTTTTGGTCTGTATAGTGTGTGTAGATCCTTGAATTGGTGATAGGTGTGCATTTCCAAGGCTGGTAATTTTGGATGTGTATGTGCCTGAATTGGCAGTGTGTGTATGCGCCCAATTGATTTTTGAGTATGTGCCTGTGCAATTGTACACTCCACCCTCCTAACAGCGCAAAATTGAGATCCTGAGAGTTGGCCTGACCCCACAGGGCAACACTCCAGCTAAATAAACCCAGTTCCCTCAGATGTCGTGTGCGCCAGCCCCTGACCATTTTCTTTGTTCTCCACTGGACTCTCTCCAACTTGTCCACATCCTTTCTATAGTAGGCGGCCCAATACTGGACATAGCACTCCAGATGTGGCCTCACCAGTGCAGAACAGAATGAAATAATTACTTCCCTCAATCTGCTTAAAAATGAAGCTAAAGGCAGATGGCAAGCACTTGGGAGTTCTAGGTTTATTTTCGGCTCTGCCAGATTTCTTGTCCAATTGGGGCCAAGTCAATATTCCCACATCCAAGGTACCATAGCTGCAAATCAGAGACATAATTAGCACCCCCCACCCCTCCCTGAGATATTCAGTTCAGTGATGTTAATACATGTGGGGTTTAGCAAGTACACTTAAAGAAAATGTAAACTGATTATTAGTTAAGTTGGAAAGTCAATGTTTACCTGCAAACTCATTGAAATGATTTCCAATATCGTATGCCAGGTAGTTGTATCCAGAATATTCATAATCAATGAACTGTACATCACCTATGCGAGACACAAAAGTGAAAACATAAGTGTTCATATAAAATAAACCCTCAACCCCAATTCTGTGTTGTCCCTAGACATCTGCCAACAATATAGTCTCATTTGTGCCCAGCTGCATGCACTCTTGAGACATTCCAGGGTAAGGCTGTGAATTTTGTGGTATGAGCTTCCCTTATTAAAAAAACCCCAAACAAACAAAAAAAACCCTCCCCGATCAACAGCTTGCTTGAACATGCAAAAAGTTTTAATTAAAAAAAAAAAAAGAAAAAAATCCTAAAAGCCTATTTCATGAAATTTCCAGGTTTCAAGTTCTACCACATGGGGGCACTGGCTGCCTTAAAAAAAAAAAAAAAAAAGACACTCAGATGCTGTTTGAGAGAAACTCTCATAATTCTAAAAACCAAAATCTCCTCAAAGTATAACTAGATCTAGAAAAACAGGACTACTTGTCCTGCAAATACAATTATAGATTAAAGTAATTCCAACCACCCTGACAAGTAAAGGACTATGGCTGGGCTATAAAGTGTGAAAGCATACATGAAGTCATTTTTGTAAGACAGCTAGCTCTCCTCTCCTAACTTTTCAAGCGTCTTCCAGGTTTGACTAGCTACATGAATATAATGCTTTTCTTGTACTGTGACTGAATCAGTTGCAAAAGAGTGCCACTAACCTGTACAACATAATAAAGCACTAACGAAGAAGCAATACTGTCCCAAATGCTACACTGTTTACTGGTTTGTTTGGGGTTTTTTTTGTTTTTTGTTTTTTTTTGTTTTTTTACAAGATTAAAAGAGAGACATTTTATCTAGCTAATCAACAGGGAAGCTAGGGGAAATTAATCACATCTAGATACGGCCTTTGATGCTCCTCTAACAGATCTGTACTACAGCAATGAGTCAAGGTACAAGGAATGAAGTGAGCTTTAAAAAGTAAGCAAAACAGAATTGTTACAGAACTTGGTTTCTTAAGAAAACTGCAGTCATTTACTAAAATGAGAAAGGGCAAAGTGATGCAAAATTTAAATTATTCAGTGGCAACTTCAAGTAGATAATTTCCAGTTCAGTTTATAATTTTATTTCCAAGTACCGAGCTGCAAACAATTACTAGCTTACTCAATTACAGCATGAATGTGGTTCAGCTATTAAACTCCTTTCAAGCTACATAATTATGTCTTTCTAGGTATCTAACTGTGCTGACTTGCTACAGGTTTTTCCTTAATAAAATGTTATACTACAAATTTTAATGACACCTGACGTAGAAATTTTAGTGCATGTTTCATGTCATAGTAATAGTCTTGCCATTACTTATGCTGGCTTTTTTACCTTGAGGCCAAATTTAGAAGTTAAGTCCTTGATGAAATCTAACTCTAATTTTGAAATTAAGACTATTTTAAGTTTATCTGAATTATACTTGTAAGGGTTGGTAATCATTTTGAAAAAGTTGTAGTACAGATATTACTTGCTTGTAAGACTTGTGGAGTTTAAAGCAACATTAAGGTCCATTAAAATGCATTACTGGACACACCTCAACATAAAGCCCCCCAAAGTTAGCTTCTATACAGGACCAAATGCTTTGATAAGGTTTTTTAGTACCAGTGGGTATATCTACATATGCTTCTAGTGCAATGCAATAAAACTCCAGCACAGTTTACACCAGAGTTAATGGCTCCTGGGCACATCTACAAGTGTGCCTGGGACTGCAGTAGTTTGAGCTGGGGCAGAGTAGCCCCCTATTGAGTTGGCTGGGACAGGAGAGTGCCCAAAGAGCAGAGCTGTGTAGCTAGGTAGCAGATCGAGGTCTGGCCCCTGCTGCCTGGGCTAACCAGGAGCAATTTACACCCATATAGCTTTTACATGCGCATTTAGGCACAGTTATTTTCACTGCCATAAGAGAATATTGTCCTTGATAGTACTATCTTATGGTGGTGAAAATTAGTTTGCTGTGGTCTAATAGTGTTGTGCATACAGACTGTGACACTTTACACCATAGCATATTAGTCTAATACATCCAGTATGAAGAACATGTATTTCAGGTTATAGCCAACCTCTTTACACTTGATGCCTCCCTGACCTCATTTATGTAATATGTTGGTTAGCTTGCATTCCATAAAATTAAAAAGACAGGCAATGTAATATAATAGGACTGCCTGAATATTTGCCAACTTCTTACCCCTCCAAACTCATATTATCCTTTTTTCCACATTAAAAAAAGGTGTGTGTCCTGCCTACATGGCTAATAACTAGTGGTTCTGTCAATCCAAAATGAGAAAGTGAATTACAAAACTAGGGACCCTTCACAGAAAACATCTCAATGACAGCATACAAATGAGGTTCTCTTGAATCAATTTAAGGGTATTTAAATCACTAGAAACTGATTTTACAATTGTTGCCCCAAAGAATTACAGTTAAAAATAAATAAATAAAACTAACATTTCACTTGAACCATCCGCAGTTGTGAGGTTCATAAAATTGTGTTGGTGTTTCTTGCTTGTTTCTTAATATGTTGATTTCTTTACATAAGTAATTTATAAAGCTCAGTGGTTAAATATAAATACCAGTTAAAAATGCACAGCCCAACCCTGGTTAGCATTTTCACACAACTGAACTAGCCAGGGGAAAAAAAACAAAAAACAAAACAAAAACCCCAACAGCCCAACCAGTCAACATTTCCTGGATTCAGAATTTTTCATGTAAAATACATAAAAATTGCAGGTAAAAATTCTGCTTACAAAGTATCAACTTAAAACATTTAAAAATAAATGTATTTTTTTATCCAAGTTCTGCGGTGCCATTAATTTTTATTACAGATAGCCTTCATTTTAAAATCTCATTTCCAGTTACAGTTAATGGTATTAAAAAAAAAAAATAAGAAAACGAAGCTAACAAGATACAGATGAGGCTGTTACCAGGCTCTGCGCTCTCCTATGGGGAGGTGCATGTGAACAAGTGAAGCGATAAACCTCCAGTCAGTGCGTTTAAGTAGCAGGGTGCACGCCGCCACATGGCAGCAACAATGGCATACCTAATCTGTAGCAGATGAAGAAAATTTGGCACACTCACATTTGATAAGACACAAAACTTTAAAGAGAAAAGTTCTGCATTTCACTGCTCTCCTTTTTCAGACCCATAGTACTGTGGAACTCAACCTTAAATTTAATTTTTTGCATGAAACATTAAAGATGCACAATTCTCTTCAATTTTCTCTCAAGAAAATAAGACTCATACAAAGCATCACTTCATAAATACCTGGTAGACCAGGTATTAAATTACCTCAATTTAGTAACTGAACAAGAAAATATTCTGGTTTATAATGTTATTCTTGGACTTTTCAGCTTGATTTATGTTTAATAATATAGGGACTTGCATTAACTGTAACTAACAATGGAGAAGAGCTCATCCAGAAGGGCTGCTATTTTTCAAAATGCTGCATTCTGAGTACTGCATACTACTACCTAACCAGTATTTTAGGGTGGGATTTCCTGAAGTACTCAGCATTTCCCCATGTCTGCTCCCACTGACATAAATAGGAGTGGTTAAGCCAATGCTAACTGCTACATAACCCCCTACTGAATCAAATTAAATGGAGAACCTTTTTACAAGTTCATTAGCACGTCAGAGGAAAAACGCCATTATTAATGCTAATTCTTTACTACTGCCTACTGTGAGATTTCACCCAGAGACAAAAGATATTTCAAAACTGGAGACATATCATTATGGAGCTCATATTATTGACTTCAAGTCTGAGAAGCAATTTTATGCCCTCTATCAAAGGCTTTAAATACTGCACACTACATATGATTTCACTTTTCACATAAAAATCAAATGCATGATATGCAACAAGCATTTTAATCCACGTGGTTTAGTGTATTTGACATTGCATTTAATAAGTCAGAAGCCAAGTGATCAAGAGGGCAGCTGCTAGCTGTCTTCCAGGAGATGATAGGCAAAAGATGATGACATTTCTATTTGTGCACTAGAAATGGCTGGACACAAGTAATTATTTTTCACCCAAGTCATTGCTGTAGTTGCTACATAAATATAAAATAATCATGGGTAGGATAAGAGATGATTTTTGTGAGTTAGTGAGAAAGGAAGTGACCTGTAAAGCAATTTCTGTATTGAGAGTGACCCATGTTATAGAATGGGTTGAGAAACACCTAATGCGGTAAAATGGGTTCAAATAGTAGGTGTATTGCCTTCTCCTCACATGAGCACCACACAGAAACTTCTGATCAGAGAACATCATAATTTTTCAAATCTAAAGGCCTAATCTATATTCAAATTAAAATGGACTTCTGGGCTAAAGTTCTACCGTTCAGAACAGAGAACATAATTAGGGTAATCTGATTTTTAAGTGCTGAGCGCACAGCACTTTTTAAAATTATCAAATGGGAACTGTAAAGTGTTGTTTTCTGGAAAGAAAAATAAATATAGACTACTTAGCAAAGTCAAGCTGCAGTGACACATGATTTACAGCTCCAGAGATGGGAGTTTGAACTTTGCTCTGGACTGGTGCCAAAAGCTACCCTCAGTCCACCCAGCTGAAGTGGGCACACCTGATTCGTACAGGCTAAGGCGGCAAAGGTACCTGGATGTAAAGGCTGACATTCCTTCACCATGTTAGTTTAAATGGGCTATTCTACTTGGATAGACTGTTGACCATTTTGACTTAGCTGTGTATCTATCTTTATGATAAATATTTTAACATATACACTAATCAAGAATGGGAAAAAGAACAGAAAGTGTGCTACAATGTTGAAAAGAACTGATATAATGATAGGTATTGGTATTATCAGAGCATAGTGACAGATTCATGTCTTTGAAAGCTCCTCAGGACAAGCGTCAAGAATATCAGAACCAGAGGCTTTAAAAATTAACTGATAGCTGGCGGCCGTTTAAATATAAACACATAGTTCAGATATGAAACTATATTCACGCAGACACTGAAGTGAAACTCTATTTGAGCTTATCCTTCATAGAGTAATTTTTGTAGACAATTATAAATCTGTTACATAATGTGATGCCATTGAAAAATTTCATATCCGGAGTGACTAAAAGCAGACATTAGCAAAAACAGCAAGAGGCCATGTTTTCTAAGCCAGAGTGCAAGCAAATTCAACCCATCTGCAGATGAGTGATGAAGTCTATTAAATGATGCCAGAACTCTATTCTTCATTTTAGTCCCTTTGGAAAGATGGTTAAGGTGTAGATATTTAAGAATGTTTACAACCTTTCTGTGATGATTAAAAAAGTGTAAATAAACTGGGAATTCAATCTAGCATTTGAGAGGACAGCATTAAGTAAAGTGTGGTGATAAAGCACCAGAGCCCTATTTACACTAGGAGGTCTACAGTAAACTGGCCAACTGATAATAGAACTGTCACAACCCAAAGGGTGTGATTTGTTTGTGTGCGCTTCGGCACTGCTAAATTGTTCCTGCTAAATTACAACTTCCTTGCACGGTGGAGTTTTCTGCTGCAAAAGAGAACCCCGGTGCAAGGGAGAATTTCCCGCCAATTTGAAGCTCTCTTTGCAGGGTGCATTTCTTTGTTGCAGCACAGAAATGCTCATTGCAAAGAGTTCCTGCCATTTGTATGCTAATTCGAGTCCCATTATTGGCCAGTTCTAAATTATTCACACGTGGCGGCTAGTGATTGGCTTGCTAGCCGTATAACAGGCTTGAGTGGTTTCCGCCCAAGTTGGAGGACTCCACGAACAAGGGAGGAGGAGACTTCACGCTGTGTGAAGATCTCTAAGCGCTGCGCATCCTTACGGACCCAGCGCATTTCAAGCAGGCAACAGAGGTCTGATCAAACCGGACCCACGGAGCCTAGCAAACTTCGTGTGGATGAGTGAACGGAAGAACCCACGGAGCCTAGCAAACTTCGTGTGAGCCCTTACGACCGGCCTCAGAGCTCTTCTACCCGGGTTCGAGTCCTGCAGGTTTATTTTCCCGTCGCCGAAACCCTTTGTGATGTACCCTCGTATTTTTCATCTTCCCGTCGCCGGAGCCCTTTGCGACGTACCCTCGTGCCCTGCAGGTTCGAGTTTTGTCTTCTTTCCTGTCTGTAACCGCAACTCAAGCAAGTTTTCAGCCTGCACCACTGCCACCTCGGTGCAAGTAAACAATCTTTTAAACTACCGCTACGCGTCTGTGCCTAATTCCAGCTCGACGGCCTTCCCTCTCCAACCCGGCGAGCCCAGGCTGCTGGCCACAGCCCGCGTGCAGCCCGAAAAAGGGCTCGGGTCGCTCCCGGCCCGCACAAGAACCAATGCAAATAATGGGTTATGTCTGTACCAATTTAGACATCACTTCTGAAAAGCCAAAAATGCAAATTAATAATAGGGTTAGAACTTTATGGACCAAATACAAAAAAGAGGGGAGGTTGGAGATGTAGAGACAAGAAGCTAGTTGATGATACTAACCCCTTTAGGGATCAAAGACATCTGCAAGATATTTATCACCTATATCCATCTAGAAAGATACTACAAGGAATTTATGCGATTCCCTCAGTGCAACTTTTAGCCAGCCTCCTTCATTAGGAGTATCAGAGAGTAAAGTGCATCTTTAAAGAGTTTTCTTTGCATTCTTATTGCAGTAGCTTGCAAAAAGAATTCTTCACATACCAATAAGAAATATTTTGCTTGACAGATTTGCAATGATTCATGCTTATTTTTAGTTAAAGTTAAAGCTGAGTTCCCATTTCAAGAATAGTATAAGATTATAATACATAACACATGGGTTAAAAGTTTTGCACTGTAAAAAAAATTTACAGCACTGAATACACAGCCTTTACTATATACAAATCTTTGTATTTTGCAGATGGCATTGAGGTTTGGTTACTATAAGAATAATACCTGTTGTATCTTGGGTTTGCAGAGTTCTTACAACAGTGTACATGATGTGCTGCAACATTCAAGTATGTCAGTTTTAATGGACACAGTCTAGCTATTTCATATATTTACAAATATTTTCCCATTCAGTTATTCACAACCAGCTTGAAGCCAAAGTGCTGTACATAGAGATTCCTCCCTCCACCCCTCCCTGTCCCAAAACACTAAACACTCACACACTGGTTATTGTAGGATTGCTCATAAGTGAGGTACTGCTGGGATTGTTTTTCCTCCATTCTGTTTACAAAAAGAAAAGCATACAGCATTTGTTTCAAAAATGGGAAATTTAAGTCTACTGACTGTGACAGTGAACCTTTAACTGACTTACGTTTCTTTTACTGCTTAAACAGTAAAGTATGGTTCTATCTTGAAAAGTGACTGTAAAAAAATAGCATCCTTAAATCAATAGGTCCGGTCTATGTATCCAGGAGTATATCTGCTGAATTTATCAATAAAAATAAATTGTTAATCTATTTAACTCCTATTAGTCCAGCAGGCCAACACATTTAGAAGAGCAAACTGAATTCTCCCCCACTCCCCCTTCAATATATCAACATTTGCTTAGAGAATTTCAGTCTATGCAACCCCACTGAAATAAGGGCATTAACATTTATGTTCCGAGTGACATACCTGTGCAAAGTATTTTACAGGTGTAATCAATGGCTATTTGGCATGAAGAACATTTGCTAGTAGCAGTGATGTTCAAGCAGGAAAACAATACTCAGAAGAGAGGTTATGTATACATGGATTACTGCTAGAAGATATTTTTCACTTTGTACAATTAGAAAAAGCACCTTTAATGTAGAAATGGTTGAAGCAAACAACCAATTTTCAAGTTAGAACCAACTTCTATGTTTTCTTTCTGGTCAAATTTTATGCAGCTTGTAAGGCACATAATCTAAACTTTGAGATATTGAATCTTCAAAACTGCTGAATGCTTGATGGAGCACACTTAAGTTCTGTTCATATTCATTTCATAATTAAAAAAAAGTTTTTGGCATTAATGCTAAACAATCGCCAAGTTACAAAACAATACTAAGTCCAAAATCCCTCTTTACAGAGAACCCTCAATATCTGAATTGCGAGCCTTCCTACGATTACCAACACGTTTCTACATGATGAACTTGTTACATTCATTTCAATTTATAGAAATTTGGGGACAGGAGGAAAATTGAGTAGCTAGGCTGAATTAAGCATTTTATTTTCACCTTAACATTACTTCAGTGTCTCAATTTTATCACTAAGTTCACCTTGTCTGCGTGTTGTGAATGTATTGTTTAGTAACCGAACCTCAAACCACTAAACAAACTGAACTTTGAAAGAAATTAAGGTTATGTTCAGATTTTCTAGACATTTTCTAGCTTCCTGTGTTTCCTTTTAATATAAAGATTCCTCTCAGGAATTCAAATATTTTTGTTATTACCAAAATAAAAATGTAACATGCCACTGCCAAGATGTGCAATGCCTACTTCAGTTGAAAAATATCTTCAGTATTAAGTTGCCTATGTACGTCATATGCAGAATATAAACTGAGCCATTGAAAGTCACGTAAGTATCATTAAGATACTTCATCATGTGGGTCTTCTCCTTGGCATCCAATATCTCTGATAAATCAGAACAATGCATTGATAATAGTCACCTGTAGAGATTATTTCCTAAAAGTGTTTGTATGACTGACAACCATTTCCACTTTAAAAAACCCTAAGAACACAAACCTGACACTTTGAAATTTTTGCTCAGAATTATGCATTAACAAGCTTATTACATTGAAACTAAGAATATCAAGATTTGCCTCTGCAGACTAAAAGTATTTTAGAATTGAACTCTGGTTACAACTACAAAAGACAACAAATATTTATAAAAATACCACTACTGTTGCACCAAACTTTATTTAAAGCAGCAAATTAATTTGACTTGTTACCATTAGTAAAACCTTAGTGATTTAACGACTACAACACAAGTATAGAATGAAATTTTACTTACAGCTGTGTTCAATACCTACCTTGTTTCTTGTTGTAGATAATATTCTTACACAACAGGTCATTATGACAGAGAACCACTGGTGATCCTAGATTTGACAGTTTCTCCTTCATCCAGGCCATCTCCTCCTGAAGGACTTGAGGACTTGGAACATCACTTAGGAACCTTGTTGGGGTATAAAAAAGTTAGAGTTGCTTTGTTCAGCAGACAATACCACATTTACTTGAATGTAAGATGACCTTGAATACAAGACAACCACCCAAATAATTAGATTCTATACAGGCAACCCCCACTTAGAGCTCTTAAAACTAAGCATTAAGCGAAACGAGTGTTAAGTGAAACCAAAAGTATTTAACGACCCAAGATGGTGACCGGAAGTGTTTTTAAAATGACCCAAGATGGCAATCGCGAGCATTATAACAAAACTAGCTGAACGCTAAGTGGAATCAGGTATCAATTTAAAATGAGCGTTATAGCAAAATAGCGCTAAGTGGAACAGCATTAAGCAGGGGTTGCCTGTATAAGGAAAATGTATGCATTTGTTATCATTTTCCAGGTACAGAATTTATTTGAGGTTTGGCTTAAATTTGTCCCCTCCCATTGCTACAGCAGGGAAAATAGATGCGGGGGAGGGATCTAGCCCTCTGCTCCCCTAATTTCTTCCCCCTGCAGCCTCTTCTCCTTCCCCTTACTGTTAAGACCCTCCCTCCCTGAGCACATGGAAGTAAGCAGCAAGTTTGAAATTGATCCATTTTACCCTTTTTGAAACTGCTGCAAGTTTTAGCACAGGTACTTCTTTAAACACACTTTTAAGCAGCACTTTGGTCCCAACTTATGTGTTTTACAAACTGGGAGCTTCCACATGTGAAATTAGCACACCTCAAACTCTGGTGCAGTTTGGGCTGCAGTGAATTGCTCCCAGGCACAACATTTACATGTGCAGTGCAAAAAGTTGAGCTGGGATGGTACAGCCAGCTCCAGCGGGAGCTAGGAGTGGTGGGGCAGGGGTCAGCCTGCTGGCCTGGAGATGCTCCACCCTGGCTCAATGTGCTGCAGAGGAGCTGGCTAGGGCACACGACTACTACTGTGTGGGGCTAGTTAGCAGGCAGTCCCCATACCGTAGCACCTTTGTGCCACAGCCAGCTCTGGTTACCATCTATGCATGCGTTGCAGTGGAGTAAGTAACTCTGCCATAGAATAGTACTTTTGTTGGGCAGTACTCTACTATGGCAGAGTTAATTAGTTTACTCTGGCTTCATAGCACTGCATGCATAGATGGTGATGCTTTACTGCAGAGCTAATATAGTCAACTCTGCAGTAAAGTGCACATGTAGATGCCCCACTATGTATTATATTAGTCCGAAGCCAATAGGCTCAGGATTTACCATATAGTTCACTGGGGCCAGGCCCCAACAGAGACTACAGCATGTCAAGTCATAGTGACCCCACTGCTGAGTACGTGTGTGTGTACACCAGATATCCCCACTACCCCTAATAATTAGCCCCCACTCATGACTGCAACTGGGTGTTCTTGTCATGAGTCCTGGGATCCTCCAAAAATGTAGATGCAGATAAGACTCAGAGCAACTTGGTCTGGTTCCTTCTCACAGAGGTCAGGGCCACAAAAATAATATGCAACAGGCTAAGAGGGACCAACAGAGGGATTCTGGGTGAACTGTTTGGAGCCCTGTTTGGTGATGTCTGCTGGACATTTAAGGTTAGTGAAGAAACAGGAATCATTGGAAGTGGGAAAGAAAAGCACAGCTCAAGTCTAGGAGTGAAGAGGAAGTCAGTGTTGTGGCTCACCTTGAGTTTAAAATGAGCTGGTGCTGAGGTAGACTGTACTCAATGAGCTGCACTAACTTATCCTTCTGGTAGGTTCCCATCAGCATACTTGCCAAATGTGGACCATGTGTTTTATAGTCATGCTCAGTTCTAGCTGCATTTAGTCAACTTCATAGTTGATTTCTATTACTGAGTGCATGCTGCTTTTGGCAGCAGTTTAATAACAGAAAGTGTATTTAAGGAAGTTCCGTTATAAGATGAGGGGCTTTTCTTCCCATGCTGACTGGGTGAAAAAAAATTCATCTTGTGAATGAGTAATTTGGATAGCATTAACAATAAAAGTTATACTGACATTTTCTTGTTAGGATCTCGAGGCAACCCAAGGTGCCACAACACCCTGTTTGAGAATCACTGCTTTACAGTAAGTCATAATAAACTCATTTATGCAGCCCAATTTTACTACAAGATTTTTTAACTCACTTCTCAGCTTTCCAGCAACATCCTTCATGTAAAAATTACATGTAAGTTATTGATTTTAGTTCCCTAACTTTGCCAAGCATTCAAGAATTTAACATTTAAACTGCATCCTTCTGGTCAACACGTGCTCTTGGGACTAACATGAAAGTTTAGGATATAAAATCCTGTAAAAGCACTAGTTCACTCAATCATAGTAGAATCAGTGAAACTGCTTCATAAGTTCTGGTAAGAGGCAAAATAAAGTAGCAGCTGTGTTACTAGCACACAGTGGTTAAACACAGCCAAGTGAACTCTTCCTCCCTACTGGAAAACACCCTACAAGTTAAAGTTACTGAGCTGCATAATACAGTATAACCTCATAAATCCAGATACAACAAACTGGAATTATCGAAAAATCAGGGCACTTTTTAAAACTACACTCCATCGGGGAGTAGTGGCAGCTAGTCCCAGAGCAGCAGAGGGGGAAGCTTGCATATGGCAGCTGCCACCACCATCTACTACCACATGCTGCTGCTCCGTGTGCAGCCACTGCTCTAGGACCAGCCACTGCTACCCCCTTCCCCCGCTGCTCCAGGACCGACCACTGCATCGGTTTAAAAAATCTGGAATTTCCACATTTACAGCAGGTGCTCAGTTTCAAGCATGCCAGATTCGTGAGGTCATACTGTATTACTTAATGGGTGAACAGACCTGTAAATTGAGAGAACTATACAGAAGACTGCTCACAGGCAATATGAGGAAAGTACCCTTTCCCCACCATTAACTCACTAGCTCAACTTCAATATTTGTCCCTTTGCATTAGTCCTTTTTTTGTTCTTTGAAGAGACTGAGAACTTTCTTCCCCTGGAGACAGTTCACCTAATTCTCTAATAAAAAGTCACTCAATGTTTCCTCCTTGTGGTATGAGGATAAAGTAACTGCCTTTTTACAAGAAACATCATGTCAGAACAACTACTGTATTTTCCCAAATCCAAGACAACTCTGAACTTAAGATAGCCCCAATAATTAAATTTGATACGTGGTAAAATTCTATAAAATTGTTATAATTCATATATCACATCTCATGTTAAATTCATCCCCCCCACACTTGCTACTGCAGCAGGCAAAGCAGTGGCAGGGGGGCAGGCAGCTTGGCCCCTGACCCTTGCCTTCCCACATCTTACCCACTGCAACCTGTCCCTCCTTCCCCCCCC